AACTTCAAACTTTCAATGGAATAGTGTCTGTCTCTTATACACATCTAGATGTGTATGTCAGACAACCTTTTACATTTACTGTTTGCGTTAAGGTGTTTAAGTACGTGTGAATTTTTATCCTTTCCAAGATGTTCACCAATCCTCGTAATTAATCTACGGCCTGTATAGCCTATATAACTGGAACTACATCCAGCACATTTAAATTTATATACTACTGAGGATCGGGATTCATTGGGGATAGTATCTTTAGTACTAAAGAACTGACTGATTTTAGTGGTACTAAATATCACATGTACTTTACAATCAATACAGTATTTTTTGACAAGATCCATGATTCTGCATTTCATGTTGTCAGAAAATATGCCAATATATGGAAGTTTAACAAAAAGTGTTTTGACATTGTCATCATTGACAGTTTTCTTTGTAATATCAGAGATTGTGTTATCTAAATAGTTTTTAATAGACTTGTCAACAATGTGATAATAATTAATAGTTTCGGTCATATCCGCAATTACTAATTGTGCCACTCTCTAATAAATAAAAATGGAATAATGGTCGTTTTTATTGAATTTCCTCCACTCTATTCATGCTGTCCTAACAATTGAATGTTAACATACGCGATGAAACCCAATATAGGCGTTTTACAAACATAGCTAAATCTACTTTTCTAATGAGTTAACAAAGACCTAGAAATATCGGTCGGGAATCATGCCTCAAGTTTTGTACTACATAAATTATATGATATCAATAATTTGAAAAAGAGGGGACCCAGAGGGAGGGATCTTCACAGGCGGAGTCATATAGGCCTACCATAGGCCTATTATATTTATTAATGTGTATGTTCTACAGTCGATATCAGAGACATATTATGCCGTTATGTTTCAACAAAGCTCTTTTTGGTATGGTGCTAGATCGAGGACCTTATGGGAAGGGATTCCATCGGGGCCCCAGGGGGCGGGGACCTGCGGACCGCCGCACGAGAGCGCATAGGCGTCACGCCACTGCGTACAGCACTGTTTTCATAATAAATTTCGATAACCGTTGTACCCTTACAATCGATGGAGTGGTGACTGAGATTGTTACTAAATGTACAAAAAATTGTGTTTTTTATCGGTTTGGCCTGGAAATAAGTCTATGTACCGCACTTGGAACAGAGCACAAGTGACTCACAGACAAAATTCATGACAGCCATTCGTAGTTGTTTCCACTCGCATTCCATCACAAGTGTCAGTGACCAACACAAGAAAATTCTTGCACACTAATAAGCTTTAAACTGATGGGTCATAAATTACTGAAAACGACTTACTAATTGCTAAAGTTACGAGTATAATATATCGTCTTCTCTATACTGAAGTATATAATATTGGCACATTCTTATGCTAATTACTCAGTTTAACTTTTAGCGGCAATACATTGGTGTTGGGATGACAAACCTTATATAATGAAGAAATGCATAATTTTACATCTAAATGTTTCAGTGAACAGGGGTTCTTCCCTGCCTTTGTCCTGGACCTCTGCCTCTCATAGGTAACCTCCTTATGAAACCCTGGTTACAGCCTGCTGTCCCCTGGGCCAGCATGTAGTGTTTTTTTTTTAAATTATTTTCCTTAAGGTCTTTCCTTGTGGTGTCAACTAACAGGGACCAATGTAGCAATATCGGATGGGGGACTTGCTTTCTAAACCCTGTCTCTTATACACATCTAGATGTGTATAAGAGAATTTTATTGTATTTTATGAAGATTACTGTTAAGTGGTGCAAGTCTATTCTAGTAGGCTACAACTGACAACTAAAAATGAATCCCATGGAATTAGCCTTATTCGACTAACTGCTCAGATTTGAATTTCAAATCCCCCAGAATCCGGGCCAATTTGTTCCATATCGATACGATGCGAACGTGTTATTGTGCCTGCTCGAGTCATGTGGGTATGTCACCGGCTATTACCATGGGTAGCACACAAGCCGAGATTTACTGGTATATTCTTAGTAGGCCTATTATATCCTTACTATCAATACCTTCGACGATATATTATTAGATTGAAACCTTATTTTATTGATATGCACATAACATAATATATGCTTTACTTTAATAACAAACAATATTTTAGTTAAACGCATAAGACGACGTAACTTACCTTTCTGCGAAAAACAACAATGTTTTGAGGTGGCGAATTATAATACACGATACAAATTATAGCCGTTGGTGGTTGGTCAGAATGACGAAGGTGTTATGCATGGCTATCGTCAAAACACAAAGGTAATTCAAGTGCAATTCAAGTGCGAAGTGCATTGGCATAATTAATAATATACATTTCCTATGCATATTTGCATCGCCTGTTTGTGAACACCGTTGGTTGAACAATGATGTTGTAACTCTGATTTGATGTTCGAGCCTACTGTGTGCGCTATTACGCGGCGAATGTTTTTTTTAAATTTTTTTATCTGTTTTATGAATGTTAGGAAGACGCACTTCTCTCGTATTAACGCTCCTCTTCTGTATGTTACTTTTCTGGTAAACAGCCTCTCAGAACCATTCTAATAAAAATGAGATGAACTGTTGAATTAGGCCCCTTAATAATCTAGGAAAATTATGTACAGAAGCGGATCAATTCATTGGGGGAAGGGGTAGAAGCCTTACCTGTACCAGCAGGGCTCTACGAACCATCTGTGATACAGGGGCCTTATTAAAACAATCTTTTTTCTTAAAAATTGACCAATTTTACGCAAAAATATGAACAATGTGGACCCATTTTCTTAAAATTTTACCCATTTTAGGCTAAATATGAGAAATATGGACCCATTTTTCAAAAAATGTACTCATTTATGCATAAAACTGCATAGCTTGGACGCATTTTTGAAAATGTGGAGCCATTCTTTGTGGACCCATTAGAAAAATTGTGTGGGACGGGACTGTCCCAATAATCATTGTACACGATAGTGTTGCTGCGCGTTGACGACTGTCGGGCGTTGACGCAAGTTGACGCGAATTACCATAAGTTGACGTACAATAACGCGATGTCACATTCAGAAAAATTTTCCCATGCAAAGCGTGGCGGCGTATGTAGTAGCGAGCGAGTCAAGTCTCGCTGCGGTCCGCCCCACACAGGCCTGCAGGGCAGCAGAACATTTTTGCTCGCCGCTCACGCTCGTCGCAGCGGGCTATCGAAATGGGTAAGTATGACTCGAAATCCAATCAAATAGCTATGCCACATTTTATGTTTATATATCAGCTAAAATAAGGATCAAGTGTAATTTGTAGGTGTTTTTGTTATTGATTGATGGTAAGCAAGGAAATTGAAGACTCGGGAACACTATTTTTGTTAGTTTAGGCCTAGGCCTAGGCCTAGCATACGCTGGCTGGGGTGACAGACGATCGGGCCCATTTCCGAGATTATCGGGCCCATTTTCAGGACGATCAGGCCCACTTTCAAAAGAGTTCGAGTCAACTCGGCCCCAAGTTAACTCGGCCCCATTTAACTCGGCCCCAAGTCAACTTGGCCCCAAGACCAAGTCAACTCGGCTCCAAGTCAACTCGGCCCCATGTCAACTCAGCCCCAAGTCAACTCGGCCCCAAGGTGTTTGTTGTTTAAAAATATAATAGGGAGCATTTAATTACCTACACAATTTTTTTATTTATTTAATTACCAAATCAACAGCAGACACAAATCCGCCACATACAGAATGGTACACAAGACAGGATACAGAAAACACTTAACTAATCACATCCAAGACAGTACGACGAAAAGTAGGCAAGTCAAAATTAAAAATATCAATATTGGGATAGGCCTGAACTAAATTATTATAAGATATACTTAATCTACTAATAAACCCTTTTTTTAAAAACATTAATTCTACTAAAAGGAAAATTAAAAATATTGTTATTTCTTAAATTACGAACAGGAACACGGTGGCCAAAACAAGAAACTAAATTACAATCACAAATGGAATGCATACATTTAAATAGAAAAATAAGATCTTTAAGATATCTGCGGGACAGAGGTGAAAGTAGAGAAAGGTGATAATCGTTATTGCAAGTATTTTTAATGTCATTGTTTAAATTATTCTCAATGGTCTGGTTGTGGCTGATGTAGCGCAAAAACCTGGAATGAAGCCGCTCAATGCGCGAGACCTGAGTTTTTGAGAATGAATTAAAAATAATAGAACAGAAATCTAAATTAGGTTGAATAAGTGTGAGGTAGAGATGAATCTTAGAATGGGTATCCAGGTATTTACAATTGCGCCACATCAGCCCAAGCAGCCTATTGCACTTCTTAAGAAGACTTTCAACGTGAAAAGAAAATGTGAGAGAACGATCTAAAATAATACCGAGATCACGATGATGCTGCACCTTATTAATTGGATTGTCATCAACTAAATAAATATAATTAATTTTGTTTTTATTTAAAGTGATGGTCATGGTATTGCACTTCTTAAGGTTCAACACGATACCCCATAAGTGCGACCAAGAACACAGTTTGTCTAGGTCTCCTTGAAGCTTGTCAGCGTCATCTAATTTTTCCACTTTTTGGAAAATGTTTAAGTCATCTGCAAACATAAGACATTTTGAGTTTTTAAATATAAAGGGAATATCATTCACATACAGGTTAAAAAGAAGAGGCCCTAAAATGGAGCATTGAGGGACACCGGAGTTGACCGGAAGCCACCCCGATGTCTCGCCTTCAATAACAACTAATTTCAAGCTAATTTTGTGTTTAACCATTTTAACATAGCTGTAGCTAGTGTAAAACGCTTTAGAAAAAGCAAATTGCGTTTACATGAAATATTAATTACCCATTTATCAATATTCAAAATATTTAGAACGACGTCATAATTTAATTTACACATCTTTAGTATATATATGCTTGAACAACGTTTGAAAAAAATTCCAGGACGACAGTGGCCAAAGCATTTCCATTTACATCTTTTTTAAGTGGCAGTCTTAAATATGTACAAAACGTCCAAAATAAATGAAAAAAAAAAAAACAAATAGTGAAATAATCAATATAGACAAAGCATTGTTTGAAGCTGTGCATGGCGAAGTAATAGCATATATGTTGAAGCTTGCGGTACACCACGTAGGAGTTCTGAAAATAACTGTTTCGATTGAGATGATTCAATCATGGACCTATTAATAGGGCCATGATTCAATCGTCTTCAGGAGAATAATATCAATCGAAACGTCGAGACTTTCTCAACTACATCAGTTCTTTTCAGAACTACCTACGTGGTGTACCACAAGCTTAAAGATATATGCAATATAGACAAATTATAAAATCAATTATATGCCTCTCCTTTTCACAGATTCATATACTCACATGCTTTTACGACTGTTACGTCACATGTGAATGCGTACCCACAATTCTACCCTTGTCACTGATTGGTAACACCCATGCGACATAGGCCTAGGTACTTGATAATTTACAGAAAGTGAGTAAACAACATGCATTAGCGCAGAAGTAAACTGACAACCAATCGTGTCGTTGATCGCCTTTCAAAAGTAGACGTACGCTGATGGAACCAGTGTGTCCCCCGGGGTAATCTCACTGTTCACATTTATAAAAAAAAGTACTGTATTTAAATTGCTTTTAAGATAAGAGGAAATTTCAATCGCGAATTATATCTGTTAAATTTGTAAATTCAGAATAGGCCTACCTTTTTTAAATTTGTAAAGTCAGAATACCTTTACATTTGTATTTATTAGCTGTATTTTTTGCGAGACTCACGAAATTAAGGTTACTTAGTTCTGTATAGTAATATTGAGATGTGATACTTAACTTAAAAAAAAAAGAAAAAAAAAATACTGTAGGCCTACATACACTGTTGTATTGTACCATGGCCAACCAAAGATCTTAAAAACTATTATTAGTTGAGGGCGTTCTTTAACGTTGATCTGCTGGAGAGAAGCAGGAGGACTTTGTTATTGTTTTGGTAGTAGGCCAAGCCGAAGTTGATAATAATATAATAAATCTTACAACGTTTCAAGTACTTCGTAGACTAAATCAGAACCTTAGCTAGGTAGGTACATTAGAGAAACCAGGCCTAGGCCCTAGGCCTAGTAGAAAGGGCCCGGTAGCTAGACTAATACTATATTACTAGGCTAGGCCTAGTAGCAGCAAGGCCTTGGTGGCAACCCCGGCCCTTCGGTTCGCTATTATCTACGGTAGGCCCTAGAGCCTAGGAGGTAGGCTTGCTCAGAGCTGGCTATAAGTAAGAAGTCTTAACGCTGTAAGTGATTTCAGTAACTGGTTGGGATGGCAAATCAATGTTTTTAGTCAGGCTACAACAACAACAGATTAGTTGCAGCTTACTACTACACTGGTTTTGAGGGAATAATTAATGGCCTTGCTATTATTATTAGTATAAAATACTAATTCGTGTTTTTATTATTAACAATTACTACAAGTTTTTTTTGCACTCTTTACTTGTCACTCTATAATAGGCCTACTTTACTATAACCTCCTGATTATAATATACAGTTATTACTAATACTAACTTAATTATGGTTTATTTTACATAAATAATATTATTGTAATATTTTTGTTTTTATTGTTATCATTATTATTACCATATTATTATTATTATTACTAGAATTGTTGTAATTACTGTATATATTAATATTATATTTATTTTTTATAGGAATTTACCAGGAATGATCTGTTCCTTTGTACACTCTTAAACGTGAGAGAAACTAATAATAATATCATGAACATAATTTCTAGTTATTATTATTATTTTGCCATATTATTTTATTATTTATTGTCTATATTATTTTTATCGCTTTAAAAAAAATTAATTTCATAAGTTATATAATGGTGAAAATGTTCAATATTCTGTGGCAATTTTTATTATAAATGATTAAAAAATTGTAGGGAAAATGATTTATGTTTATCAGTGGCAATTATTCTTGTGCTATATTTTTATATTATTTTGCATGCATTATTATTATATTATTTTTATTATTAAAAATTATAATGGTGAAAATGTTTAAAAAAAAAATTATTAAATCAAGTGTGCAAGTAACAAGTGAAAAGTCATAAATAACTATATGGACGATGTTTCCCTTCCTGCCGTCAGGTAGGGCAAACATCGTTAGTATTATGGTATTTGAATTAATTTGTTAACATAGAATTTTATAGGCCTATCTGAATTTGTAAAATACTATGCAATAAAGTTACAGTTTAACTACCGAACGTTTTACATATTTGTGTTTGCGGCTAGATTTCAGACATTATTATCCTAATCCAATCGCGAATATTGAAATCCGGATCCATGCCTATATGAAATTTTACATTAAAAAAATAGTAAATATTTCTGAGCAACTTCTAGTACATGTAATTGGCCTAGGAAGGGAGTGAATTTTTCCGGCTTATTATATAGAAAGAAGCCCGAAACAGCCATTAACATGTGTGTATTTATAAATAATATTGAAACTAAACTTTATTATCCATATTTGTGTATTTTATAATCGGAATCGGATTATGTATCAAAATGGAAATAAACAACAAAATACAAACCTTGTGTCACATTGTTCACCTCACCTCATGAATCAATTTCAATCATTGTCATATTGAAGAAAAAGGATGCAAAAAGGCAATATTTACAATTAATTTTTTAATAAAGTATTTTATTCCATAACCTGTTTAAAATTAATAACTTGTGGGATCCCACAAACGGCACGGTAACTATGATTTGTGGCCGAGTAGACATGTGGCCGAGTTGACCGTGTTCGTGTTTACTGTGGCCGAGTTGACTTGTGGCCGAGTTGACCTGTGGCCGAGCTGACCTGTGGCCGGGTTGACTTGTGGCCGAGTTGACTGTGGCTGAGTTGACCTGCTTCCCTCTACTATACTTACTGCTCTGGGCATGGGTTGACTGTTCATGGTGGTTTAAGAGATGGCTCATTTCAAATTCTGCAAGGGTACATCAGTTATTGGTGCACTTCAAGTGTGTACTTAAAACATTTGTCCAATATGTATCAAAGTTATGTTTGTATAAATTGTTATTGCATGCATTATCTACAGGTCAATGACAAGATGAATTTCATGGAGGCATACCCTGACCGCTGTTCAACTGTAGGGTCTGCAGCCAAAGCTGGTGACGTGGAGTTGCTAAGGAACCTCATAGCCCAGGGTTGCTGTATTAGTATACCTGATAATCGAGGCTGGTTTCCTCTGCATGAAGCTGCAGCCGCTGGCAATACAGACTGCATTCAGATACTTCTGAATCATGAAGAAACAGGTGAGAATCTGCACATATCAGATTGCTGTGCAGCTTTCTATTGACTCTATTACATTGAGAGATCTCCTATGTGTTTAACGGTTCAAATTGTTTGAACATCCTTGAGTTGGGGTATGCGGGTCATTAGGACCTTAGTGGAGTAACCTCCATACCCCAGTAATGTATAGTTAGTTAGGGTGGGGTATGCAGGTCATGAGGACCTTAGTGGAGTAACATCCATACCCTGGTAATGGATAGTTAGGGTGGGGTATGCGGGTCATTAGGACCTTAGTGGAGTAACATCCATACCCTGGTAATGGATAGTTAGGGTGGGGTATGCGGGTCATTAGGACCTTAGTGGAGTAATGTCCATACCCTGGTAATGTATAGTTAGTTAGGGTGGGGAATGCGGGTCATTAGGACCTTAGTGGAGTAACGTCCATACCCCGGTAATGTATAGTTCGGTTAGGGTGGGATATGCGGGTCATTAGGACCTTAGTGCAGTAGCGTCCCTACCCCGGAAATGCACAGTTCGGTTAAGGTGTGGTATGCGGATTATTTGGACCTAGGGAAGTGATGTCCCTACCCCTGAATGCATAGTTTTTGTTACTGATATTTATTTTTGTCATTTATTATTGTATTGCTTGCTATGGATATGTGTTTCCAAACTAAAAGTTTAATTGAATTGACATTAATTTTCTATTGTAATTCTTCTTCTTTTGGCCTTTTCGACTTAGTCAAGCCATTAGCCTTGGCACCACTCTTCCTTTTCAGCCTCTGCAATCTTTATTGCTCAAAGTATCCATTAATCCATTATTGATTTATAATTGAGAATTATTGTTACCTCTTTCAGAAGTTGACTGGCAGACATTTGAAGGGGAGACAGCTTTGTACCTCGCAGCAAGTGGAGGGCATGCAGAGGCTGTAGAAGAGTTGCTGAAGGCTTGTGCCACAATAGACCTTGCTAACAATGAAAGTGGTACTCCACTATTTCAAGGTCAGTTCACCATAGTTATTTTACTGTCTCAACTGTACATAAATTATTGTTTTAATTTTTGGTTTAGTTCCTACAATATTAATAATAAAGTCTTGTTTAAACTACAAGTAGGAAAGGACCTAGTAATAATAATAATAACCATATTGCCTGTCTTTTACAACAGAAGGACAATTGAGTAGTGCAACAAACAATATGAAATATAAACCTTTTAGCATTGATACTGTGTGTAAATATGCATATAATGGTGGAAAAACAAATGTAAATACATAAAAAGTAGTTAAAATTTAAAGTAAACGAGAAATTGTATTAGAATTAAATACAAAAATATTTGTTGATTTAGTTTTTTTTAAATCTCGAACGTGTAAGTAACAATGTAATTGTTGTCTTGTAGCATCTAATCACAATCATGAAGCATGTGTTAAGTTACTCCTGGAATACAAAGCGAATGTCAACTGTGTCTATTTCAATGGCTGGACTCCACTGCACACCGCTGCATACGGTGGACATATTGGTATATTGAAGAGACTTTTGAAAGCTGGAGGCAAAGTAACCACCGTAGATGATTACAACATTACACCTACCTTTGTAGCTGCTCAGTATGGACATGCAGATTGTCTAAAGATATTACTTGATTCTGGTAAGGGGCACATGTAGCTATGTGTAAGGAATTGTGGGTAAACAGATATCTTTTCAGCAGCTTTTCATTTAAAACGTCTTCTGAAAAGCCTGGGAGATTCTATTTTTTAAGTTTTATTATGATGCTTAGGTGAAACTTTTATATACCTTGTTTCATCAACTTATTTTTTAACAATAGTAAGAGAAAGGTGGAAAAATTTTTTTTTTCTTTTTTAGCAAATAGGTTTGCCAAAAACATCCATATGGAGAAGAATATAAAAATAAAATTATATTGTTCAAACAATGTAGTAATGGGATGGTTAAATATCTTACTTTTTGAGATTATTGCGGCGGTGGGTGTAATAAAAATAAAGGGAAAAAAAAATTCACATGGTTCCCAACTACCATGCCCCTACATACTGATTGGATTTTCTAATTGGTTCAGTAGGCCTTCCAATCCAAAAATTTGGATTACCCTTTAGGGTCGTGGTAATGATGAGAGCAAATTTCAGGCATTTGCAGGTGTTCAAACTTTGATTATTAATCTGGTAATATATTATACATATTGTTGTAGGACTTCCTGTTGTTTGGTCAAAATTTAAATATAATAATTATAAAATATACTGAGATAAATGTGCATCAAAAATTTGATCCTATTTGAGTGCTCTGTTTTCAGAGTAGTTGTTTATGGATAAAAGTATAGATTTACCTGCCAAGCTATTGTTTGGTAATCAACTTTTTTCAGTGGACAAGTGTAAAATGTTTTTTTGTTGTTGTGTAGGTGGAGATGCTAACACTCAAGCTGAAGATGGCGCTACAGCTTTGTATATTGCAGCTCAGGAAGGCTACTCAGACTGCATCAGATACTTACTAGATGCAGGTGCGGACCCAAACCTCTTAACTATAGACGGCTGCAAACCAATCCATGTTGCTGCTGAAAAGAATCAACTTGTGTAAGAATTCTGATATGAATTGATTTATATTTTATTTGACACAGTAAAAAATTGTGTTTGAATTTGATATGCACAAGTGATACAATTGTTTTGATTTTACAAAACTGAAACAATGTTTCCCATGAATAAATGGAAAATGATTACTGTGCAATATTGAAACAGTACAATAAGAATTACTTTTTCTGAGGTGAAATTGTCTTTATATTTGTGCAAAGACAAGCCAAAGCGGTCACTCGTCGCAAAAATTGATTTTCATTTATTAATACAGGGTTGAACCAAGACAATTCAACTGAAGGATGCACATCTTGGGACATCAAAGGTTGTAACTCTGGCATCGACATTCTAGGCACTGCGCGTCCCTACACGCTGAACGTAGCAAAACCATAGCAACCACATCATTTAACCGCCAGCGTGTGACGAATTACCCACACGCGTGTTAGTTGCCATGATAATCGCGCGTCGTGCCGTGACTACAAAGGCTTAATGATATTTTGCACTAACATTAGACTGAAATCATATTCTTCATTTCAACATTAGTTTTACCAATGTTGTAGTGTATTGTCGTTCATAAGACTCACTTCGCAGAAAAAATTAATAAATCTACTAAAATATTCGTTTTGTGCACCTTAGACCAACATTGTCAAAATAACAGTTTATAATGTTACATATGAACATGAAATTTTATAAAATTCATAAATTTTCAATTGCTATAACTTTTCATTTTCTTGGTCAGTTTTCACAAATCAAATTGCAGTTTATAGTAAGCATTTAACAAGCTTGCGGTCAAAAGAAATCAGATGTAACAGACATTGCGAAGTACCCAAAATTAATAAGATAGTAACTAACACCATAAAACGTATGGCACGCATAGACTAATATTTGAAGGCTGCACTCACAACTAGTATCGGATTGTCGATGCCACAGTAAAGATCAAAGGACTGTACGCACACGCTTTGTTCGAGAGTGGAGATATGCGTCCTTTTGTTGGATTACCTTGGTTGGACAGTAAAATGAGAGGTATAAAATTGTAAAAGAATGATTAAAATCCTACATTTCATTAGAGGGTTTAGACATACAGCTGTTTAAAGAACAATATTTGAGAAATCAGCCATCAAAGTTTATGATTTTAATCGTTAAAAATTGTTGTTTTAACATTGAAAATGAGGAAAATAACAGTATAGAATGATATAGAGATATATAAAGGTTAGTTGAGTGCAATGAAATAGATTTCAAAAATGTTGACATTCCATCATGTTTTGGCCATTATCTCTGAAACAGGATTTGCAAAGAGTGACTGGTTTGGCTTGTCTTTGCCACATTTTTGTTTTGTTAAGAAAGAGATAACATGATCTATCCAGCAAAGCTAATGATTTTAAATCTTTGATGCATTGTAAACAAGAAGGAAGTCTAAGGTGTGGGAAGAGTCTATTTATGAAGTAAAGGGAGTGGAGAGCTTGTATTTTGTGGTCGTTAGTGCTCTGAAGCAAATCTTTTTATAAGGTGTGGGGAGTGTAGAACTCATCGTTGCCTCAATCATTTATCCATGTTTTATTAGTACGTATGTAGGGTTGGGTTAGACAGCACAGCATTTGGTATCATTAATGCTTTGTAACCAAGAAAATTATATGCCAATTATATACTAATTACTTGCCAGGGTCGGATCCAGAGATGTCCAAAAGGGGGGGCCAAAAGTGGGGCCGATTGAGATAACACTATTCTATGGGGTCCGGGGGCATGCGCTGTGAAATTCTTGTGTTCTAGACGCCCAAAAATAATGTCTGAGGCGTTTTGGGAGATCAATCTTTTCTTTTTCTTTCTTGATTTGAGTTTATTTAGCCATCAGAGTAAAATACAACAACAAGAAAGACAAGACAAGGTAAAACAATACAATTGAATACTCTGAAAGCAAGGAATAGCCCAAAAAGGTTTCAAAGAAACATATTTCCATTGGGATCCTGCGAACGAAACATTCAGTTGCCAAAAAGGAAGAACAGGAAAGGGATCAACACAAAGCTAAAAAGAAAAGGGATAATTTACAATTTTAAAAGTTAAGACAATATAAAAAGATCAACAATTTAAAAAAGAAAAATACCAATAAGACCGATTAAAACTCGTTGAAAAAAAGACTTACTGAACTACTATACATTCCAGAGGTGTTCTTTATATTTATTAATGGGGCAGCTGACTTTCAATGAGTTATAGTAAAATTTTGCTTAAGCATGCCCCTGACCAAAATTTTTGTTGTACTGTACCATTTGTAAATGTGTATTGGTCGAATAAATAAATAAATAAATAAACTTATGGAGCTTATCAATCGAAATGTTGTAGTTCAAATTATTTATATTAATGTATTTGTATTACAGATCACTTGAGCTGCTGTTAACAGTGAGTCAATTGGACTATGTAAAGGGTGCAAGCAGTTGGTCTCCTCTGCACTGTACAACTGTTAATGGCAACATCAAGGCTGCTAAGCTTATCTTAGATCATGGCTGTAATGTGAACACAGGGTTTACAAATTCCATCAACCGGCCCACACTACCTCAAGACTTATCACCATTGTTTCATTCATTTACTCTCGGAGCAACAAAACTTTTTGACTTTCTGCTTTCTAGAGGAGCACGTCTTCAATGTGAAGGGGAAGCTGTTGGTGGATGTTATATGTACCACCTATTTGTTTCTGGACTAAAGGACAGCGCAAGTGCAATGAAAAAGTTATTGAACAGTGGGTTACGTATTGAATGTCCATGCGTTTCTCCATATTATTTCCACCACAATGTTTGTAAGGACAGCCAGTTACTATTGTACAAGTACCTTCTGGATTGTGGGTTAAAACCGAGGTTAAGCTGTTGTGAATTATGCCTTTGTTCTCAGGGTCCATTACACAGGCCATTTCTACAGGCAAGTCTTAGCCTAGCTGTTTTCTATGTCCGAACCTGTGTGGCGAATTTATGCCCTGGCTCTGTAGCAGTACTCAGAGACTCTGTCTGTTGGCCACAGCTCAGCAAAGTTATAGGTAAATATGATTTATTTGATTAAATGTCATGGTGCCATCATGTCTAGGAGGGGGAAAATTGTGAGAGTATGGTGATAAAAATGAAGATGATGATGATGGTTGGTAGTCATGATGATAGTGATATAGTTGCCAATTTATACAGATTGACTGCGAGACTCACGGATAATTTATTATTACAATTGAACAAAAACTCACGGATTTCAAGGCTACTCTAGATCAAGATTTTTACACTAATAAATAAATAAATGAAATAATAAATAATGATTTGCAAATGGCATATACAGTAATATGAAATAAACTAGAAATTGCAAATTACAAGTGAAGTACAACTGCATATAAATGTTCTTTGAACAAAAATTATTTATGCAAGTCAAGTGAAAATAATGAATAATAAAAATATAACAAATAATATTATGAGACACGACCCATCGTCTATATTAGAACACTGACGAGCTGACGTAAAAGCAGTAAAAACGAGCGTTGGTACCGTGTATGCTAGTCTACAACAAGCGTCGCCTAAATGTAATAATTAGCACACTGAAATAGGCTAGTAAATAAGTTTAACTGGGTTCGTAAATAATATTGGCCTCAAAATATTGTGGCTGAGACAGGGGCCGATTAAACGTAGAAATAGGAAACCTAGATATATAGTAAAAACGCTGAATAGTAATACTCGAGCATCGCCACATGCGGACGTTGGTACGTGTAGGTTAGTCTACAAACGTCGCCTAAAGTAATTGATTTTACCCGGCAGAACGAAAGAAGGAAACTCCGCTTTTCAGTCGTCTTAGGCCCTTGTTTTTTGACAATGACCTTTCAGAGGTCAAATTGCTGTCAAGTAAATGAATTGGCTGCTTCGCAGCAATAAATCATTTGCCATTCATCTGTAGCGTTAAGTGTAGCCAGGGTGTAGCAAAGAGTATGTACTGTACTTTGGTCAAATTTAAATGAGTACTATAACTTTACCGGGGGTACACATCTAGATGTGTATAAGAGACAGACTCTAGATCAAGATTTTTACACTAATAAATAAATAAATGAAATAATAAATAATGATTTGCAAATGGCATATACAGTAATATGAAATAAACTAGAAATTGCAAATTACAAGTGAAGTACAACTGCATATAAATGTTCTTTGAACAAAAATTATTTATGCAAGTCAAGTGAAAATAATGAATAATAAAAATATAACAAATAATATTATGAGACACGACCCATCGTCTATATTAGAACACTGACGAGCTGACGTAAAAGCAGTAAAAACGAGCGTTGGTACCGTGTATGCCAG